CTAACTCAGTGAGGCTACGGGACAGAGGAGTGAGGGCTGCCCCAGGGGGTTTCTGAGGTTGAGTTTTAGGGAAGCTGACTGCCTCATCTTCCAGAGTGACTGGGGGGATTGAATGGCCAACCTTTCAGCTAGTACACAAGTGCTTGACCACGGTGCCACCAGGTCTCCTTAAATGGAGATCGCAAGGTCTACTTTAAATTCCTTTTACAGATCAAGAAGCTCAGTTTCACGGAAGTGGTTTGCCTCATGTCAACAATGTACAAACTCAAAACTCACTGCTGTTGAGGCTCCTGGAGACTTTACTCATTGCCTTTCCAAAGCTATAAATCCGAGTGGGAGGAGACTGTCACCATTCTTCCCTGGATTCAGCGGTGGTTCCTGCCACCCAGCTGGAAGAGCAACATCCTACAGCACACACCATGTAAGTGAAGAAGATGAAGTTGCCCTGGGGCAACTCAGATTAGATGTTGTTTGGACACAAGAGCCACTTTGTGGGGATTCACAGAAGATTGAAGACTCTGGGAAGTTCTGCAGGGACAATTTTGTGGAATGTTAATCTGTTAATTGTTGTTGTTGTTGTTGTTCTGTATTCTTGGGTCAGAACCAACCCATAGCTGGCCTTCCAGCAGGTTTTCTGAGGCCGTTAAATGAACAGGAGGAGACTACCTATCTTTCTCCCATTAAGTTGTAATCCACAAGAGTGACAGTGGGTCTTCCATGTAACTGCCACATACATGAATGAACTTAGACTGATGATAAATAAGCTCAATAAAATGTCTTTAAACCCCCCAAAACGTACTCATGATAGCTTACTTTACCTGCCACAAGAAAAGTTAACTATTCCAGTAAAACAGCACACAGCTGTCACCCCGTCAGAAAATGGCTTATTTATGGATTGCTCCTCTCTCCCAGGAAACTGTGTGCTGTTTGGGACTGACTCTGTAAGGCAGAGGAGTCTGCTCTTAATAACTCTTTGCACAATTCCTTCAGGTTCAGGAAGAGCAGAAACTCACCAAGCCAGCTGACAATGAGTCAATCATGACTCATGGAAACCCCATGCATTTCAGAGAACTCTAGTCCACAGGGTGTTTTCAATGGTGGAGCCTTCAGAAGTAGCCAGATCTTTCTTCCAAGTTACCTCTGTTCTTGTTATGTGCAGTTGAGATGACTGCTATTCATAGAAAACCCATGCACAAGGACCTAAACTTTGCCCTATCGTGTGACATTTAACTCAATGTGCCTAATAACATTATATATTATGCAACATCTTCATAAAAGCAATATGAAAAATGTAATGTAGCTACCCAGGACAATGTGTCCAAAGGGGCGTGTGTGTATATGTGTGTATACGTGTGTGTCTGCTAAGAAATCAAACTTCTGGGGATATGGAAAAAAAATTCAACATATTCACTCACATCACTGTTACATCATTTGCTGGGGTTGTGTAAACAGTGACTATTCCCCTATAACTACCAAGCTAACTATGTTGTTGTTATTAGATTATTAAACTGTTCCAACTCCTAGCAACCCCATGCTTACTAATATACTAGTGATATTTTAATTACTCCTAGGGAAAAATATACCTCCTTTCCCTTGATTGCTAAAGCTTAATTATTATTAAGAAAACCAATTTGCTCAACATCAAATCTGCATGTATGCTCTAGGGTATGCTATCTATTTTCATATGATTTAAAAAATGAATCATCAAAAGATGCCACTTACCCTGCCAAGTTTGTTCTAATCTGAGGTCTTAGAAGCACAGATATTTTATTTCACCATGGATGCATTTTCCTGGGGTGGATCTATAAGAACCAAGCTCCCAAAACTGACATGTAAAATTTTTAAGTTCAAAGGTACACCCAATATAGGCCACGTCTTTGCAATCACTTGTTATGCATCATAGAGCTGGACAATGACTAGGGATGACAGAAAAAGAACTGATGCCTTTGAGCTGTGGTGCTGGAGAAGAACACTGGACTGCTAAGAGAACAGGAAAGTTCATCCTGGAGAAGGTGAAAGCAAGGCAAGGATTCTGAAACTTCATCTGACATAGTTTGGACATGTTGCAAGGAGGGACCCATTCTTGGAGGAATGTCATGCTTTGAAGGGTAGAAGGACAGCACAAGAGAAAAAGACCCTCAATGAAATGGATTAATTCAGTGACTGGGGTAATGGGGGGGTAGGTGTGTCAGAGACAGTACGATTGGCACAGGATAGAGCAGGGCTTAGGGCTATTGTACATATGGTCGCTATGAGATGCAGGTGACTCAATGGCACACAACAACATATATATTGCTGTTGTTGTTAATTGCCTTTGAGATGATTCTAACTCATGATGGCCCCAGTGGAACTTCTCCCTAAGGTTTTCAAGGTTTTGACCTTTTAGTGGAGATTATCCATTCTTCTCCAGCTTTCTAAAGGAAAGGTAATTAAAACTTTTAGTCCTTACCATAACAAGAAGATATAGAATTCTTACAGCAGAATACTTGAAAATATTCTGAAAGTACATTCATATCATATCCACCAAACTTGTCCTTAATTATTAATTGGTGGCATTGGGTACTGTTTACTCAGCTCCAATTCATGTTAAGTTATGTATAACAAATCAAAGCATTACCTGGTCTCAAGTTACCCATGCTTGACTATGAGAGCTAATTCAAGTTCAAAGAATTATTGTTTATCTTCTTTCTCTCTCTTGCTAGTTAATGCAGGGGTATGGGGGAGGAGAAGGCTACAAAAAAAAAAAGAGGAAAGATGCCAATCTGTTAGTATGGTTAACATTTTATAGTTATCAGCAAAAGAGTTTCAAAAATGTTTTTTAAAGTTTATTTCCATTGTCTTTCATTATATTATGAAGAATTCGCAATGTATCAATTTTACAGAGTATCCAACCCACACACATCCTGTAAAGGTCTCTGAGATCATCAGCTGCTCTGTCTTACCAGCAAAAATAAAACCAGCAAGGCAAGGAAATTGCAGCAATATATTTATTGGAAATGAACTAGACATTACATAAACCCAGTGAAGAGGTAACAATTCATGAAATAGAGCTTGTGCAACATATTTTTTAAATTGCAGATGAAAAGGAAAATTCTTTTTCGAAAGGAAATATTGTAGACAAATTTCTTTAATCTCTGAATGCACTAATGCAATTCATAATGCTGACTCTAACATACCAGGAAAAAGTGACTTTAAATTTTAAATTTAAATATGAAAACAGAAAGGGGGAAAATTCCTTTTCCAGCTGGGAGATGTGTTAGTTACCATCTGAGATCCACATAAAAGGCAATTTCCAGCACTAGACAATAACCAAATACTATTTGTTATATCCCTGGTAGGATAACAAAACAAGACAAACCCTTCACCCCTACAAATAGATAGATTTTCAGAAATGTTAGCAACAAATCATTCAGGAGTCCTGATTGAATGAGGTACCTAGAACCAAAATACTCTTGTCTACCGAAATTGAACCTAGACATTAACTTACATATTAAGACATTACTATCTTTACAAAGAAAAAGAAAGCCCTGATTAAAGGGCATGCCGATGTGACACAAAATTCATTACAATTATACTGAGTAACAGTTTAAACGTAGTATCAGATGCTTCACATCTGCTTACCAAAGTTTCTGAAAGCTTTTAGTGCTTTACTCCTCTACTCCACAATTTCAGCTTGTATAATAAACTCCCTTTAAAGAAAATTAATTCATACAGTCCACCTGTGATAAGACAAGTACTGAAAAAAATAAGGGATGATAAATATTGTTCGGGAAGGTAAAATGCTGCATCAACTTTCAGAGGCACCATGGTAGAATCATTTCAGAAACAACTGCATGTGTACTTTGAAAATCACTGTCCTCCTATACACCAGCATGCCGGAATATCCTCTAATCAGCTATATGTGGCTAAGGAAGTTGGGAGTTCAGATGCAGAATCCTAGACTCCCCCCACTCCACTTCTTCCCTTACAACGGAGTTCAACAAAGTTTGTTCTTTCACAGTTTTTTTTAAGTTTTCATAAGAGCGAGCTTATCAGATCATTTTAATTGGCCAGAAAAAAAAGATATATAAATATAAAAGGTATTTCAACTCAGCCTGTTCTCTTTAGAGAGCCAATCGTAACTACATTTCCTCATCCTTCACTTAAGGTAGAGAAGTTAAACTAAGATCGCTCACATTTGGGAGAGTAATTGGCAAACCGTTGCCACTGACTGTGGCACCAAGTAAAAAGAAGTCAGTTTGCAACTGTCAGAACAGTTGAAATGAAATGGTGCAAAGCTATCTTGACAACTTAGGTCCTAAGTGAAATATTTTAAGCCTGGTATTTTTGGTGCTGGTCTACTTGGCTAGAAAATTAACAACATTCTCCTTTAACTTGGTTTGTGTGTCTCAGTTTCTCCTTAAACCTGTATGAAAGTAAGGATTAACCAGATTAAAAATGCATTTGGGCACAACATGCTGATTGGCACAAGGCAGGCAGGGGAGCAAGTCCCACTTTCCTGAAACACCCATAGGAGCAGACTGCCTATCAGCCGATTTTCTCTTACATACAATGTCAGCAGACTCTAAGACAGGAATACGCAAAGTCACATAAGTGTTTCTACTTCTGTCCCTCTCCACCACTGAGTGAAACATGCTGTTCTTTGGAGGAAAAATATACATTCATTTTTTTCAAGTATATTTCAATATACAAAGATGTTCTAGCTTTGTTTCACTACAAAGGGGAAAAAAAGAGATCTGGCATATAACCAAAGAGGATTTTGCTTTAACTTCCCCTTTGGTGTAGATCTGATGAAGTTGACTAAAAAACTGCTCTATATATAAATGCTAGTTTTCTCTGAAAGCATGACTTGTTTATGTACTTTTTGTGTGTATGTGCATAGCTGTCAACCACCGCCACACCACTACGAGGCAGCCTACATCTGTACAATGGCTTAGGATTTGCAGATTCTAAGGGAGTGCAGTCCACCAGCTATAACTTGGGGCTCAGCACCAGTGTTGGGTGGATTCATGAGCTTCAGCGTCCAGCATTTGGCCAACAGCACACAGAATTTTCCTTTCTTTCAGATTCTAAGTAGCACTTAACTACTCAGATGGCACTTCTTAAATTATGGCTTATTTCCTGTCTTGGCTTTGTTGTTAGGGTTGCAGTTTAGATCTCTCAGTAGTGATTCACAACTGGCGAGAGCATCAGCGGGCAGCAGCTTCCGGATTTGCTCCACTGTCTTCTGATAGGCCATTTTCTCTTGCTCCAGGGTGCGGATTAAAGATTTCATTTTGGTCTCTCTGGTCAAGAGATTTTCCAGATTTGATTCTAAGTTCTGAATTTTAGTATGAGCTACCTGTTTAAAAAAAAAAAAAGGTTTCCAAATAAAACTTTCTGAAGGTTTTGTTACTTCATTATGACAACACTCATTCTTTAGCTATATTAAATTTTATGTTTCATCAAAATTAATTACTTAATAAAAAGAAAATATGCTGACAAGATTTATGAAACACAAATTTCTAGGTTTATAAAAAATACAACTATGGTACTAATACACTGGATTTCATTTCATGGAACACACTAATAATGCAGGATTAAGGCACCATCTCCCATAGTAAAGGTCTCAACACTGATATTCCTCGCGAGTAGGATCCACACTCTTGAAAGAGAAAGGAAAGATTCCTGACAACTACTTGGTACTGATAAAATATGTTTCTCTTTATCTTTCTGCCTGGCAGCACAGAGTTATCTAAACACACACTAGTTCTTAAGTCTGTCTGGATGCTCATGTAACTTGGAAATTCAGATAAGATATCAACACTGAACAGGCAATAAAAATGCTTGTAACATTAAAAAATCATTGTATTACGTGCAAATCTACCTTCTCTAATAAAGAAATGCTCAATTGATCATCACTAAAATATTTAAGTAAAAACACATGAAACGTCTATGTAAAAAGGGATACTACATCACTTTTATCTTATTCTTCTGTAAAATAGACAATGTTGACTCTTTTTTGATTAAGAAAAAGGGCAAAAGAATAAAGTGGAAGAAATTGGTGTTCTTATTCTTTCTGGGAAGTTTCCTAGTTTCTGACCTATATTTTTCTCCTTCAGCTGGTCTTGACAAGGCTCACTACATACAAATACACACACACACACACACACACCCCCCAAAGAAATGAAACCCTCCAACATATTTTAGTATTTTCTGGTTTGGGGCAGGTGTTGAAGTGTAGTATAGTGAGTTAAGGATAAGCAGAAACTTAGGAACCACTGCATATCTAATTTAGAATCTAGCTTCTCAGAAGATTTACCTTCTAAATCTCCCCATAACTCCTTAAGCCTCACCTGTAGGACTTGAATACTCATTGTATAAAATACTAAATTGTAAATGCTGAATATTATTTTGTTGTAAATGGTTGATTACATTTGTTGTTGCTTTTGTGGTGGTAGTGGTGGTGGTGGTGTACCATTGAGTTGGAACTGACCCATAGCTAACCCTTCAGTGGGTTTTCAGAGGCAGTTAATTGCGTGGGAGGAGATTACCCATCTTTCTCTCACAAAGCAGCTGGTGGATTCAAACCATGTGCCTTTGAAATTGCAGCACAATTTCTTAATTACTAGGCCACCATTTGTAAGTGTGCACATAAATACAGTATTTGATGTTCCCAATTAATTGCCAGATCCTTGATAGCAAAACTGTATGTGGCATTTTTCCCTGAATTTTTCCTCAGATATATTTTTTTGTCTTTCCATTTGTGGTTGTTATGTACTGTTGAGTCGTGTGCGACACATAGCAACCCTATGTACAACAGCTCTGAACCCTGCTCTATCATGAGCCAAACTTATTTTCTCTGCTACATCTATCCCCATTACTCCAATCACTGAGACAATCCATCTCATTGAAGGTCTTCCTCTCTTGCACTGTCCCTCTATCCTCCCAAGCATAATGTCCCTCTCCAAGGACTAGTCCTTCCTTGCAATATTCTCAAACAATGTCAGATGCAGCTTCAGAATCCTTGCCTCCAAGGAGCAGCCTGGTTTCACCCTCTCTAGGACAAACCTGTTTGTTCTCTTAGCAGTCCATGGTATATTCAATACTCTCCTCCAGTAACACAGCACAAAGACATCAATTCTCCTTCTCTTATCCCTAGTGATTGTTCAGATTTCTGATGTATAGCACTGTAGTCTCCAGATAGACGCCGTTGCTTTTCAGCATTCTGGAGAGGTTCCTGACTTTCCCAATGCAATCTGTCTTTTGATTTCCGGGCTGCTGGTACCAAGAGTGTTGATTGTGGAGCCAAGCAAATTAAGATGTTAACAATCTCAATATCTTCATCCTTCCACTTATCTGAGTTTTATTCTGGATATCAGTGAGGGTTAATAATATGGGTCAACTTAGCTATTATTCCCAGTATTATAACTTATCACCTACTGTGTGATTTAATTATTGATCTAGTATTATTATTGTTGTGTTTGTATATACGTGTATAAAAAGATAGACTTTATGTACTGTAAATCCTAATCTCTATATGTCAATGAGGTGGGGCTACTTTGAAATGGATTTTGTGTCACAGCATTGTGTTGGTGTTGGTGTTGTTGTTAGGAGCTACCAAGTCCTTTAGGTGTGTCTTATTCAAACCAAGTCACTACTTAAGTCACACAATGACTCAAGTTATACCTTTATTCTGACCCCAGGGAAATTTCCTTGGCTGTATGACCTGCACCCAGTATATACAGAGAGAATCTTACAAAGCTTTTCGTTGCTCTAGATCTTGATCTGGATCTTTATCACGGGGCCTCCAGTTCTCAGGACTTGAGCTACTAGTCTACCATTTGACCTTCAGATTCTGGGATTCACAGTGCCATGAACCAGCAGCCTGTCATCTGACCTGTGGACGTGCAATCACCTGAGTCAGGAGAAGCCTCCACGTGACACTGGACCCTTGCACTAGGGACTTGTCACATTCCCATCTGCATGACCCATTTCCTTGAGATAAATCTCAGTGCACACACAAACACACATTCTATCTGTCTCTTTCTCTCTCTCATGTATATATGTCACATTTTGCTTCTCTGGAGAACCCATTCTACAAAAATCAGTCTCAATGGCACTTGGATTTCAACAAATGTCTTCTTTTTTTTTTTTTTATTTAGCTCCTAATCTCTCCTCATCAAGCTTTCCATACTGAGCTCTCTAAAACACTGCTCAAAACTTTGAGAATTTGCTCTGTCTTCACAAATAAAGGCATGCTCTTCTGCGTGAAAAGGACAGATCTCCATCATTCCCCTCCCATCATATCTATTACACGTCAACACAACATAAGTCTTCAATTTTTGCCAAACTAGTATCTCTCTGTCACACTCTCCTTTAATTTCACCTCTCCTCCCAACTTAAAGATCCTGTTCACTCATTTCTTACATCAAGACTTTAGACACCGCGTTAAGCCTCCAAAGCTCTCGTGACATTCCCAACTTCCCAATTCAATTTTCCCCTTGAACTTAAGCAAATGTGCACTACAACCAATAGGTATTTAATCAGGTTATGCTTTGAGTTGCCATGCAACTATTTTGTGAGTGTACATTTTTCTCTCTCAAGAAAAATTTAAATGTACATGTGTACCTATAGCCCCTTTTGTGGAGATCCCACTTAGACTTAGTGGGAATTGGTTTGATTCCTCTGTATACCTCTATTTTTCTTGGCATAACTCTATGCATTCAG